CTGATAGCCAAGTAACTTCTCACTTATTCATACAATTATTATTAATAAATCAATGCAGATCTACATCTCATCTCTCACAGTTTGGCCAAACCAATTGGGATACATTTGACCTTGAATGTTGAACACGTTCATTGTAACTCTTCAAAATCCACCAGTCCCAGAAGTTACTCTGGAAAGTAAGGAGCTTGAAGAACCACTGGGTATCTGCAAAGGTTAACCCCAGCTTTTGCAGCCCTGACAATAATGGAGTGTACAACTCCATCACAAGTGGGTACCAAACCACCCTGGAGCCCTGAGTGCCTGCACGGGGCTGTGGGCGGCAGTGGCACCAGGGCTACTCCAGCTGACCAACCAAAAACTGCTGCTGGTGGACTTATCTATGCTTCAGTCTAGTTGTATTGAAGCCACTCCTGAGGGACCATGCTCAGAAAAGCCTGTGCTCATGGGACACAGGTAAATTTCTAGATTTCCAAAGCCTAAACCCAGTTCCTTCCCTACAGCACCCAAGAACACAACGCCCTGGCACAGGTTGCCCAGGGAAGCTGCAGCTGCCCGATCCCTGGAAGTGTCCAAGGCCAGGTTGGATGCAGCTTGGAACAACCTGGTCTTCCAGGTCTCTTCTAACCCAAACCATACTGTGATTCTTGGATTCCATTTTACCATGAAAACAAGTTGCTCAAAGATTGCTGTTCCCTACATTGCAGGCAGCAATACATAAACACTGGGGTGCCAATCCAGGGAAACAACACTCTTTATGACGAGCAGCATGAAAAGCTTGATGTCCTGTCACATGGGTGTCTATGCTCACTTCAACATGCTACAAGTCACTAATTGCTGCTTTAGTTTTCAATATCTCCCCTCACAAAAGGTAAGAAATTCACCAAGGAAACAGTGGTGGCCTTTGCTCAGGTGTGTTTGCTGATGAATCATTTCCCTCTGCAGCCCCTGCTGACTTAGGGGTCTTTTCCAAACCCTTAGAGGTCTTCTCCAAACTTAACAATTCTGTGGTTCTATGACTCTGAAGCCCCAGCTCCATCTGGATTCAGGTCACTTCTCCAATGCCCCTGCCTTTGCTATTAGGAGCGGGTGGCAGTGAACTGGGTCACAGTCTCAGCTCCATCCCCTGCTGCTGGATACCCAAGCAGGTCCTTGGCTCTGCCCTCCATGAGGGAGCAAAGAGTCAGGGAGACCCAATTCTGCTTTCTGAAGACACCATAAGTAGGTCAGGCGAGGAGCAGAGATGTGATCTGGCTCTCACCCATGCTTTAAGCAAAACATGTTAATTTACAAGATGAAAATAGCCCCAAAGAGACAGGATGCCGTGTAGAAGACAAAGTATTAACATAAATAAACTCTGAAACATCCTCACTGCCCCCTTCCTGAAGCAGGAACAGAGGCAGGGATGTGTAGGAAGAATGTGAGATGTGCCTTTCCTGTGGAGCACTGTCTACAAGAGGCTGCAGCACTGCCACACTATCCCAGGAACAGCACATTCCAGGGACCAAAACCATGGGAACTTACAATGCCTCACCAGAAGGTAAATTCACACAGGAATTGTAATCACTTGAGCCAATTCCTGCTCTTGCAGCCCATCCTCTTCCATGCATGTGGGAGCTCAGTTTGGATCTGCTTATGTCCTATTAATAGGAAGAAACCTAAATATGGAAAAGGAAATATAAAAGGGACAAACACCCATTTTGAACCAAGATGAATGAATGTCATGAATCCTAAGGCTGTTTTTCAAATGCACACAAATCTATCCCATGTCTTCTCACACCTGGTTGTTCTATTCTGTGTCAAATACATTTTATCTGGGTTTCAGGGGAAGTTCTATCTACAGTCCCTTTTCTCATTGCAATATTCATGAAATTTTTCCTTAAGTTTAGCTTCTGATTAAATTGTATCACTTTATTTTATTCTATTGTATTGTATTTTATTTTAATTATTGCACTGTATTTTATTTTATTATTTCATTTTATTTTACATTTTATTTTGATTATTTCATTTTAAATTCACTACAAGACATTTTAGTTTCCAGAATAAAACTCTACGAACTTGACATGAATAGTGGAACTTGTCAAATTTATCCCCTATCCTCTCAGAATTTTAAAACAAAATACAAAGTAAAGTCACTATCTCTTCCCCACTGGAGACACAGACACATCTGTATATGCATAAACCTACACAGTCAGACACAAAGAACGTTTTCACACAACCACGGTCTTGACCATGAATAGACTCCATGTATCCATCAGGGAATTATTATTGATTTTATCTGGGAGATACTCAGAGGCTGAGAGGAACCTCCAAGTCTGAGATCACACGTGTACTGACAGACATTGAACACTGTGACCCACCTCAGGACAGGACTGACCACACTCACCCCAACAGGTACCGGCTGAGCTGCTGACACAACGTACAGTCACGGAATATCCTGAGTTGGAAAGGACCCACAAGGATCATCCTGTCCAACCCCTGGCCCTGCACACACATCCCAGCAAACCCACCCTGTCCCTGAGAGTGTTGTCCAAACCCTCCTGGAGCTCTGGCAGCCTTGGGACTGTGCCCACTGCCCTGGGGAGCCTGGGCAGTGCCCAACCAGCCTCTGGGGGAAGAACCTTTTGCTGAGATCCAACCTGAGCCTGCCCTGACACAGCTCCAGCCATTCCTTTGGGTCCTTGGGTCACCAGAGACTTGGAGCCTTCTGTAAGGGGATATTTGTGAGGGTCACAGGGGTCCCTTAGGGCTCTTAGGCTTGTACCTCACTCTCGCTGCCATCACTTGAATTTCTCTAACACCAGTGAAACATCGCTCAGCATGACCAAGGTTCTTAAGGAGCCAGAGAACCATCCACCTCCTGTGCCTGTTGAAACCAACACCTATGGAAACAATCTGACAGTGTTTCTTAAAACCAAGGCGTTCTATATCAGCATACAGTGAAATGACAGAAGCAGAGATGTGCATCAACCCCACTTTTGCAGATCCATCGAGACAAGCGTGATGTCTTCCTTCCATCTGTATCTTTGGGCCTTGATGAACCATTGTGATTATTTCTGAGGCTGATGAGAGGAGGTCTGGTCTTCATCCAGAAACCAAGACCAAGAAAAATGCCAAGGTCCACCTACAAGACTGGACCCTTGGAGTGGAAGGTCCTCAAAGGAAGCTGTGCTCCGGCCGGAGCGGTGCCCTTGGGCAGGTCCCTGCAGCGTGGCACTGGTCCTTTCCAAACCAGATCCACTGCAGGGCCCTGAGCCAGCTACACAAATGTATGGCTGGTGATTCTGTGCTTTGCCTTGTTATAAATAGTAAGGTTTCATTTCCTTCATAGAGCTTTTGATTTGTTTCCTTTGGGAGACTCATGGGTTTTAATGGCATTAATTCCTATTTGCCAACCTTGTCCATATAAATGAGGATCTTCATTAAATGAATGTTAAGCGACGAGCACTATAATTAGGACAGATTTAAAAGGCAGTATGTCTAAATCAGAGACTGCCCAAGATGTTCTCTTTTTTATTAAGATATAATTCGAAGGAGAATTACTACTTAGTTTGAAAGGAATTATATTTTCCAACAATCTCTTCTCACTGAGGGAATGTACAGAGCAAGGATGTACACCTTGCTTCAGAAGTGAAGCCCAGATCTCCCAATCCCTACTGCTGACAGATGATACTCTCACAAGAACAAGGGTGGGTGAAAAGTGTCAGATGGTACCTTTTCCCCTCTAATTATTTTAGGTCAACTTAAAATTCTATTCAATCTCTCTGTCACATAATTTAAAATAATTAAAGACTTAGAGACTGACCCCAACATTCAGTCACACAATCCCAGCTGACTGCAATGCCTGTCATCTGGATGACATCAGAAGCAACACCTTGAAGAGATATCACCACTGCCACCATGGGGAGAATCGCTCATGCCATTTACTGCACAGTAACATATTCCCATCTGCACCCAAACCTCACCACCTTCCCATGACACCTGGGTAATCAGAGCCAGATCCTGCTCTCAGTCACACCAGGCTCCCATATTGGTTTGGGTTGGAAGGGATCTTTAAGCCCATCCAGTTCCACCCCCTGCCATGGGCAGGGACAGCTTCCACTAGCCCAGGTTGCTCCAAGCCCTGTCCAACCTGTCCTTGGACATTTCCAGGGATGGGGCAGCCACAGCTTCTCTGGGAAACCTGTGCCAGGGCCTCCCCACCTTCACAACCAAGAATTCCTTCCCAATATCCCATCTAACCCTGCCCTCTGGCAGTGGGAAGCCATTCCCCCTTGTCCTGTCACTTCATCTCTTTTCCAAAGTCCCTCTTCAGCTCTCTTGGAGCCCCTTTAGGCTCTGGAAGGGGCTTTAAGGTCTCCCTGAAGCCTTTGCTTTTCCAGGCTGAATACTCCAGCTTCTTCCCCTCCTCATTACTGGGTTTCCCAAAAGCAGATGGGAAATAAGCCAAGAGAGAGGGAACCAGAGAAAGAGGCAGTGGTAAAAAGCAGGAACAAAACCAAACTCAAGGAGAAAATTGCCAAAGTTTGAACTAAACCCAAAATGTCAAGAAGTCTATTAAACAAATACCACAAAAATAACCCTCCTCACAAAATCATTCTCTTAGTTTTAGTTTATTCCTTGTGTAGCCCCACTGAAAGGAGCAGCACTGATCCACAAAAGAATCTGGCCACATGTAAAAACTTTTTCCAGTCTGAGTGGCCACACTGCAGCTTCAGGGAGTCAAGAAGGGCTCATCCCAGCCTGGGAGCAGGGGAAGGTGATAAAGCAGATCACACCACTGTGCAGGCCTTGCCCAGCACCCACTGCACCCCAGCCCAGGCCACTGCTGGGACGACAGAGCTCCTGCTCTCAGGGCAATCCAGCAGTCTGCAGGTGTGACGAGTGAACTGCTCTGCACGTGTTTTGTCTGTGTTGCTTTCCTCCTCTGCTCTGCTCCTTTCGCTGGTCACCTTCTGTTCTTTACATACAGTTTCTGTTTCATCTTCAACTGACGTGCAGGTGCCACCGACAACCGCCAAACACACCAGCCACGACCCCCGGCCTGCTCGGCGGGACAGCACCTCTGCTCTTCTGCTACTCAGCTTGAGGTAGATACACCTGAACAGACACCTTTTGCTCTCTGCAGAAGAATTCAGACACAAACCATCACGAGTGGAGCACATCTCCGGGCTCCCCTTGCACGGCGATACCCGGCTGCAGGGTCCCCTCCCCACAGCTCATGCTGGTGGCACTCTGTGACCAACACAGCATCCCCTCCATCGAGTGACCCACACAGGACTCTTGGCCCAGTAGAATCACAGAATCATTTAGGTTGAAAAAGACTCTGAAGATCACCAAGTCCAACCATTCCCCAGCACTGCCAAGGCCACCACTAACCCGTGTCCCCAGGTGCCACATCTACACATCTTTTAAATCCCTCCAGGGATGGTGACTCCACCATTGCCCTGGGCAGCTGTGCCAGGGCTGGACAACTCTTTCCATGAAGGAATTTTCCCAGTATCCAACCTAAGCCTCCCCTGTTGCAACTTGAGGCCATTTCCTCTCATCCTGTCCCTTGTTCCCTGGGAGCAGAGCCTGACACCTCCCCCCCATGGCTTCCCCCTTCTGTCAGAAAGTTGTAGAGAGTGAGAAGGTCCCCCCTGAGCCTCCTTTTCCCCAGGCTGAGCCCCCCCAGCTCCATCAGAGGCTCCTAATCAGGTTTGTGCTCCAGACCCTTCTAGTAAAGAGAGATGCAATAACTTCAGGAACAGCAACATGACAGGAACAAGTAAGGAAAAAAGTACCTTTTAAGTAAGCAAAAAGAAGAAAAAGAACACTGTGGAAGAGAAACATGGTCTTGTCTGCAATAAAACATCCAGGTACTCAGGAGATCTGCATTAACGTGCCTAATCATTGTCTTAAAAAGACATTAAAACCTTTTGGTTTGATTCTGTCTTACAGATGATGAGCACTGCTGAGGAGAGACTTCTAATCCCCAACAGCTCTTAACACAATAGACCTCAACCCCCGCTGAAGACTAGATGCAAGACCGCCAAAAGTAAATACTGTGGATATTTGTAGGGACTCGTAAAGCTCCTCTCATGTTTCAGTTTTCAGTCTTCTCATGTTTCACGTTTTCAGATCACTCATTGTGACCTACAGTCAGCAGAGAGCACAGACCTTTGCAATGCAAGACTTTGAACTACATCCTGCTGCACACGTTGGGTTTGAGCAGAAACAACTTGTTTCCCAAGGCAGAGTGGAAATATGGGAAGACACTCAAGAAAATATTCTTGGGAAGACACTCAAGAAAATATTCTTGGGAATACACTCGAGAAAATATTCTTGTGAGAGTGAATATGCTTGAAGCATTTTGCCCTGGAATCTGAAGAGTGTTTCTCTTGTGAGTAGGGAAGGGGAGCCCAGGCCTCACTGAGGACAGGTCATTTAATGTAAGGGCAGCTGTTTCCAATGACAGTCATAGAGTGGAATCACAGCACAGTTTGAGTTGGAAGGAACCTTAAAGCACATCTTCTTTCAGCCCCAAACCCTATCTGCCCTGTCCTAAGGAAAGCAGCAGCTCCATGCCCAGGAGTATGTGGCTTTGGGGTTTGTTGCCAGTGCACTCATGGACCAGCCTGACTCTCACCTTACAGGCTCGATGCCCTCAGACCTGTCTCCTCACAGGACACTCCTAACAAAAGCCTCTGTCAGCAGAACAATTCCTCCTAAACTTCCTGATGGCTGAGATCTGAAAAACAAGCAGGTGGACACCAAGGATTTCTCCCTGAGGTCACTGAGAGCTCTACAGAGTAAAGGGCACTTGCAAGCTGAGTCCTGGTCCTGGGGCTTGCCTGGATGAAAACGCTGTGCTGGGTTAATGGCCATACACCACGAAGTGGATTCAAGCATAAAACTGCCCTTTACCCTTCCTCCCTCTGGCTCCCAGCTCATACCAGGCTGCACAAGCAACTCTCCAGATCCCTACAAACTACCTCTATCACCACACACCCCACAAAACTTCCCTATGGAATTAGTGTTGGATTGATCAAAATAAATCCTTCTTTATCTGCTGCACACAACCAAGGGATGGAGTGATGAAGTGCATTCTCTCACATGCACTGAGAGTCAAGTGCCACAGTAAACAAAAAATCCCAGGAATGGACTCATTTTCACATACATTTTGGAAACCACGGGCTGCATTCTGCCCAGTGCAGAAGGGAGCAGGAAAGGGAATTGTCTCAAGGAAAATAACCCTTGCATTATTGTATAATCAACAAAATTCCATGTGCCTTAGCACTTCTTCCTCACACAACGTGTCACCTCAGCGGTTGACCACAGCTCCATGAAGAGCTCCAGGCTGTAGACTGTGGAAAAGCCACAGTCAGAACAGCCTTGTACAAACTCAGCATAAACTTTCCTCCACAGAGAAGCGCTGTGATCCAGCCTGCACGTGTTTTCACTCATAGGACACCTTCTCCCCATCACAGGTCAAACTGCTTTAGGGAAGTGTCTGCTATCAGTATGTGCCTTTTGTTCCTCAGTAAAAAAAAACTGTTGTCATTGTATAAATGAAATACCACCCATCTTGGAAAAAAGGAAATGAATCAAACTAAAATAAATGAAGTTTCTAGATCACAGCAACCTACAGCTATTGCACAACCCCAGTCTTTGCCAGCATCACACTGTTATGTGGCCTACCTAGGACCAGTGTGTGCCAGCAACAAAACTGTTTCCCAAAGCTGAAGGTCAGAAACCCAAAAACCAGCAATGCTTCACTGCTCAATTCCTTGAGGCCCCACAGGCCAAGGTCTCATGGTTCAATAGAACACATCACACAAATGGACGAGATCCCACAGACCAACACAGCCAACTCCTGAGGAAGACCAGTCTGGGTGAGCCCTGGCAGCCACCAGCCCACCACGGCCACAGGCAGCACCGGGAATTTGATTTCACTCCAGCCTTTCTTTGCTGCCCCAAGGATTCAAAGATGAAAGGTATCTCTACCAGGAATGCCACTCCACCAGTGGCCGAGCAGACAGGCTACCTTCCTGGAAGAGACCCCCAGGAGAAGGGACACCAAAAGCTGTGCTAAACCCAAGACCTGAGGAGCAGAAGCCAGGTTCAGCTGCGCTGGCTCATTTCCCCCGTAATGCAGCACTATAACACACACCAGTGTGGTACTGCTTGGTGAAACACATCCCTTTTGCCCTCTGAAATTCTAGGAATTAACTTTCAAAAATAAGCGCAAACATATCAAGAAATCAGCCATCAGGTAAAACCTCTAAAAACTGACTGCAGCCTCACCACGACCCTGTCATTCCATTTCTCTTTCCAACAGCAACGTTACTGCAAATACTCCTACAGTAACACCGGCTGTTCAAGATCCACAGCCTACCAAACTACCTGTAACACTGGCTTGCTACAAACAACAGACCCCTAAGAAATTTTTAATTTTGTAACTTGTCCTCCAAAAGCCACAGCACTTGGAGCAGCTCCGCTCCCTCGTGCTGGGACTGCAGTGGGATGGGGACAGCAGGGATGTCACACACCCTGGGGACAGGTGTGCTGGTTACACTTGGGATACAGTTAGTTTTCTTCACAGTCACTAGGACAGGGTTACTTTCTGTTCTCTCTTCTCTGAAAGCTTGTTTCCTTTGAAAGTCACAGGGATCCCACCTTCAGCTGCTGTCCACTCGTCCAGCTGCACTGCAGCTGGCTGTACCAATCCTCACTCACTAAACCTGGGTCCCTATATTTTCCCTTCCCTGTTGTGTACACAGACCCTTCCAGGACCTTCCCCTGGCCGCAGAGGGTGTGGCAGTGTCCATCCTCAGCAGGGAGATGCTCCCCGCAGCACCTCAGAGGCTGCCATAACCCAACCCCCAGGTGCCTACAGACAGCAGCCTCACCAAATTTCTATCACCAAATCCTGAATATGCCTGTTTCCAGAATTCAAGCTGTGGATGTGCAAGAGGAAGGCAGAGGAAGGAGAAGGACCTGCCCAAGGGGATAAAAGTGTCTGTAGGTACTCCCTGGGCACATCTAAAAATGTCCAAGTAATCTTGCTGTATGAAGAACTGCTGTGCTGGTCTGTGATCTCACACCCCACAATTTCAGCAGTGTAAAGCTGCACCTCAGGCTGATCTTTCTCACTCTTGTTTTCTTTTGAGGGATAATTTCCAGTTTCTGTGGATAGATCCAGAGTGAACCTCCAGACCCCACGACATTTGAATCAAGAACTGGAGAAGAAACAGAGCTTTCTCCACTGCTAAAGGAGTTCAGGTGCTTTTCTTGTGCACAGGTAACAAAATGGGTTTGGATTTCAAGCTGGATAGGTACATCTGCACTGACATTGGCAAAGGTGGGTTTGCAAATAATCAAGCTCTGAGGAGGGGAAATGTGTTTCAATCACTGGTTTTCAGCTTGTTGAAATCAAATGATGCCTTTGCCATCCTGCACCCGAGTTCGAGGGCTCACTTATACCGAGCAATGGCAGTGATTTTCCTGTACACAACCCTCTGGGTTAAACATCTCTATGGGAGGTCCCACAAGTCCAAGTTTTAGTGTTTCAGTTACTGAGGCTGCATAAACACTTTAAACCAAACCAGCTGAGTGCTGTCAGAGCTGCTCTGCCCAGGCAACATCAGTAACTTCGTACAGCAATAACCACTTGTACATGTGTGTATTTATACACACAAGTACAACTCCGACTACTGCATGTGCTTGACTTGCTTTAATTGTGCCATCCATTTATATAACCATTTATATAACTTATTTTTAAATCTGAGGTAACTTATCACTGTAATTTGCATGAGCATGCTCAGATCTCTCTAAAAATACTGATCAATGATTGGCTCTCATTTTCAGCCTAAGTACCCTTTGCATGTGTTCTTTATACATATATAAATATATATATATATAAATACATATATATATATAAATTTATAAACACATGGAAATCCTGATAGTACCCTGGTGTTACCTTTTAATGCTCTATTTTGCATGACCAACATTTTGAGCCAACAGTAACATTCACAGAGAAGCTCCAAAATGAGCTGACAGTATCACGAGGAAGGAAGAAGGAATGGGAATGATTTTCAGTGTCATATTTACTAAGAACTTAATATATTAAACCCAACAACAACACAATTAAAGAATGATAAATTATTAACAGACCCCCCAAACCATTCTTGATTGTTTCCATTGTTGAGCTCCATGACCTGCTCTTGTATCTTTATTTCATTTCAGCACTTCGAATACGTTTTTCAAAAGATTAACATCAAATTTCACATGACTTAATTACAGCTTTATCACATTTTATTCCTATTTCAAGATGCAAATTGGCTTTACATGTCTCCATGTACATCCATGGAGATGTACATGGATCTGCATGTCCTTGCCATGCCACCCTCCAGCCAGCTCACCCCCAGGATAACCCATCCATGTGACAGTACAGGATCCTCCTGCCCACAGAGTGCTCAGCACTGTCCCATTGCTGAAAACAACCACTGTGGAGATGCTTCATCTTCACCTTTGATACACATGGCAGGTGTGTCTGGGAATGATGGATAACATACTTGATAGAGGGAAACAAAGCAAACCTGCATGTTTAGAAAACCATGGCAGCAATAGGCATACATCACACGGGTGTCCCAGGAGACCAGGCACTGGACTGGTGTGAAATGGTGTCCTTTATGTCCATGGACTCATAATGACTTGTTCCACCTGGTAATTCCACCCTGGTTGGACACATTTTACCAGCTGACTGGTAGCACTGGTCTCCCTCACACTCTCCCTTTTACAAGCTCTAGGATGGAACAGGTTGACGATGATGGATCAGTCCAAGTGGTTTGATGCTGGGGCCCCTTTTCTCCCTCTTGCCTCCAACAGAACCTCTATTTACTGAAGCAGGTCCCAAGGCTCTGCTGCTGAGCAGATTCCTGCTGTGGACTGTGTGGTTTGGGGGTTATCTCTGTTCATCAGCAATTACAGAGCACAAACCTACACACCACAGCAACACCTGCCATGGGAGGTTGTTCCTTACAGCTTTCACAACAGCATCTCCTCAAGGGCACCACACACATCTCCTGCAAAGCCTTGCAATAA